TATCAACATTAAAAAGGAAATAGAAACTAACAACAAGGGCAAAGGGGAAATGAGGAATACAATTTCTGAACTGAAGAACACAGTAGAAGGAATGAAAAGCAGGATCGATGAAGCAGAAGACCGGATTAGCGAATTGGAGGAAAAAGTAGAAAAAAACAACCAGAAAGAGCAAGAAAAGGAAAAGAGGTTCAGAAAGAATGAAGAGGGACTGAGAGAAATGCAAGACAATATGAAACGTAATAATATCCGTATAATAGGGATACCAGAAGGAGAAGAAGAAGAACAAGGGATAGAAAACCTGTTTGAAAAAGTAAAGATGGAAAACTTCCCTAATTTGAGGAGAGAAAAAGTCACACAAATCCAGGAAACACAGAGAGTCCCAATCAAGAGGAACCCAAAGAGGCCCACCTCAAGACACATCATAATTAAAATGGCAACATTTCAAGACAAAGAGAGACTATTAAAGGCAGCAAGGGAAAAACAGGAAGTAATATACAAGGGAGCCCCAATAAGGCTAACAGCTGACTTCTCAATGGAAACACTCCAAGCCAGAAGAGAATGGCAAGAAATATTCCAAGTAATGAGAACTAGAGGTCTGCAACCAAGGCTACTTTACCCAGCAAGGCTCTCAATCAAGATAGAAGGCCAAATAAGAAGCTTCCCAGACAAAAGAAGTCTAAAATAATACACCTCCACCAAACCAGTTCTTCAAGAGTTGCTAAAGGGACTACTTTTAAGGAAAGGAAGGAAAAGAGAGAGAGAGAGGAGAACACACATACATAAATGGCAATGAATAAGTACCTATCAATAATAACCTTTAATGTAAATGGATTAAATGTTCCAATCAAAAGACATGGAATAGCTGAATGTATAAGAAAACATGACCCACACATATGCTGCCTACAAGAGAACCACCTCAGGACAAAAGACCTGCACAGGCTGAAAGTGAAGGGCTGGAAACAAATTTTCCAAGCAAATGGACAGGAAAAAAAGCCGGGTGGCAATACTCCTATCAGACAAAACAGACTTCTAAAAAAGGACCATAAAGAGAGACCAAGAAGGTGACTTCATAACACTCTAGGGAAGGATCCATCAAGAAGACATAAATATTGTAAATATATATATATATATATATATATGAACCCAACATAGGAGCACCCAAATACATAAAGAAAATCTTAGAGGACTTCAAGAAAGGTGTTGACAACAACACAATTATAGTGGGGGATTTTAACACCCCACTGTCAAAAATGGACAGATTTTCCAAACAAAATATCAGCAAGCATATTGTGGCATTGAACAATACCCTAGATGAAATGGACTTAACTGATATATACAGAGGCCTCCATCCCAAAGAAGCTAAATACACATTCTTTTAAAATGTACATGGAACATTTTAAAAGATAGACCACATGATAGGACACAAAACAAGCCTCAACAATTTCAAGAAAACTGAAATCATACCAAGCATTTTCTTGGATCACAAGGGACTGAAAGTAGAAACCAACACCAAGGAAAAAAACACAAAACACTCAAAATCATGAGATTAAATAGTATGCTATTAAACAATGAATGGGTCAAGAATGAAATTAGGGAAGAATCAAAAGTTTTCTGGAAACAAATGAAAATGAACTCACAACAACCCAAAACTTATGGGACACAGCGAAGGCATTCCTGAGAGGGAATTTCATAGCGATACAGGCATACCTAAAAAACACAGAAATATTTAAAATAAACAACCTAACCCTATGCCAAAAAGAACTCAAGGAACAACAACAAAGGTAGCCCAGAGCAAGTAGAAGGGTGGAAATAACCAAGATCAGAGCAGAATTAAATGACATAGAGACTAAAAGCACAATTTTAAGGATCAGTGAATCCAGGAGCTAGTTCTTTCAAAAGATAAACAAAATTGACAAGCCTTTAAGCAGACTCATCAAGAAAAAAAGAGAGAAGACCCAAATAAACACAATCAGGAATGAAAGAGGAGAGATTACAACAGATACCACAGAAATACAAAGGATTGCAAGAAATTACTACAAAGAACTGTATGCCAAGAAATTTGAAAACCTAGGTAAAATGGACAAATTTCTAGAAAAATATAATCTTCAAAACTCAATGAAGAAGAAGTAGAAAGCCTGAACAGACCAATAACAGCAAAAGAAATTGAAGCAGTAATCAAAAAACTCCCAACACACAAAAGCCCTGGACCAGATGTTTTCACAGAATTTTACAAAGCATTTAAGGAAGAGCTAACCCCTATCCTTCACAGTGTATTCCAAAAAACCCAAAAAGATGGAAGACTCCCTCCCAAACTCTTTTTATGAGGCCAACATCATCCTAATTCCAAAACCAGATAAAGACACAACAAAGAAAGAAAACTTCAGGCCAATATCGCTGATGAACATTGGCGCTAAAATCCTCAACAAAATACTGGCAAACCACATCCAACTATACATTAAAAAGAGCATACACCATCACCAAGTGGGATTCATTCCAGGGATGCAAGGATGGTACAATATTCGCAAATCAGTAAATGTAATACATCCCATAAACAAAAGCAAAGACAAAAATCACATGATCATATCAATAGATGCAGAAAAAGCATTTGATAAGGCACAGCACCCATTTATGATAAAAACACTCTGCAAAGTGGGAATAGAGGGAGCATTCCTCAGCATAATAAAGGCCATATATGAGAGACCTACAGCCAACATCATACTCAATAGGCAAAAATTAAAATCTTTTCCACTAAGATCAGGAATAAGACAAGGCTGTTCACTTTCACCACTTCTATTCAATATAGTACTGGAAATTTTAGCCACAGCGATCAGACAAGAAAAAGAAATAAAAGGCATCCAACTCGGAAAGGAAGAAACAAAACTGTCACTGTTTGCAGATAACATGATAGTGTACATAGAAAATCCCATAGATTGTACCAAAAAACTGCTTGACCTAATAAATAAATTTGGCAAAACAGCAGGATACAAAGTCAATATCCAGAAATCAAAGGCATTTCTGTACACCAACAATGAAACAGCGGAAACAGAAATAAAAAAAAAATCCCATTTGAAATAGCAAAAAGAAAAATAGAATACCTAGGAATAAACCTAACCAAAGAGGTAAAAGACCTATATTCAGAAAACTACATAACACTGAGGAAAGAAATCAATGAAGACACAAACAAATGGAAACATATACTGTGTTCATGGATTGGAAGAATTAGTATCATCCAAATGTCCATACTACCCAAGGCATTTTACACTTTCAACGCAATGCCTATTAAAGTACCAAACGCTTATTTCACAAACATAGAACAAACACTTCAAAAATTCATAGGGAACCATAAATGACCCCAAAGAGCTGCTGCAATTTTGAGAAAGAACAGTAAAGTGGGAGGGATCACAATACCTGACATTAAGCTATACTACAAGGCCACTGTAATCAAAACAGCCTTGTACTGGCATAAAAACAGGCGCATGGACCAATGGAACAGAACAGAGAACCCAGAAATAAACCCAAGTCTCTACGGTCAATTAATATTTGACAAAGGGGCAGCAACATAAAATGGAGTAAAAAATAACCTCTTCAACACATTTGTTGGGAGAACTGGACAGCTATATGCAAAAAAATGAAATTAGAGCACCAACTTAAACCTTATACAAAAATAAATTTAAGATGGATAATAGACTTAAATATAAACTGTGACACCATTAAAGTCCTAGAGAAGAATGTAGGTAGGAAAATCTCAGATATTTCATGCAGAAACTTTTTTATTGACATGTCCCCTAGAGCAAAGGACATAAAGGAAAGAATAAACAAATGGGACCTCATCAAAATTAAAACCTTCTGCATGGCTAAAGAAAACAGTATCAAAATAAAAAGAGAACCAACTGTATGGGAAAACATATTTGCCAATGATACCTCAGACAAAGGTTTAATCTCCAAAATATATAAAGAACTTATATGACTTCACTTTAAGAAGACCAGCAACCCAATTAAAAAATGGGCAAAGGACTTGAACAGACACTTCTCCAAGGAGGACATACAGAGGATCCAGAGACACATGAAACAGTGTTCAATATTGCTAGCTATCAGAGAGATGCAAATTCAAACTACAATGAGATACCACTTTACACCAGTCAGAATGACCACCATAAACAAAGCAACAAACAACAAGTGTTGGAGAGGATGTGGAGAAAAGGGGACCCCAGTGCACTGTTGATGGGACTGCAGACTGGTACAACCACTATGGAAAACAGTATGGAACTTCCTCAGAAAACTAAAAATGGATCTGCCCTTTGACCCAGCAAGTCCACTGCTGGGACTATATCCTAAGAACACTAAAACACCAATACAAAAGAACCTTTGCACCCTGATGTTCATAGCAGCACAATTTACAATAGCTAGATGCTGGAAGCAACCTAGATGCCCATCAGTAAATGAATGGATCAAAAAACTACGGTACATTTATACAATGGAATTCTATGCAGCAGAAAGAAAGAAGGAGCTCCTTCCCTTTGCAACAGCATAGAGGGAGCTGGAAAGCTTTATGCTAAGTGAAATAAGCCAGGCAGTGAAAGACAGATACCATATGATCTCACCTTTAACAGGAACCTAATCAACAAAACAAAGAAACAAGTAAAATATAACCAAAGACACTGAAATAGGGGACAGACTGACAGTGACCAGAGGGGAGAGAAGAGGAAATTTCAGGGGAAAATGGGAAGGGTTTACAGGAACAAATTCAAAGGACAAATGGACAAAAACTAAGGGGAGGGTGGTAATGGGAGGGAAGTGGGGAGGGATGGGTGGGAGGGGTAGAATGGGAGTAAAAGGGAGAAAACTGTATTTGAACAATGATTAAAATAAAAAAAAACAGATTTAGCTATGGTGGGTTACATTTTGTGTTTGGGATTAAGTGAAGTTAATATATGCATATTTCCAGCATGTCAGCTCACATGAGAATAAGTGTGGTGTGATGGTGCAAAACTTTAACTTACTTTTTCATTTGGTAATAGCCCTTCTTCACAGTGCCAAAGTTACCAGAGCCTAGTTCTTTGTCCTCCAGGGTCAGCAGGTTCCGGTCTAGGTAGACCTCCTTCGGCCTGATCTCCTCAGGGTCTGCATAGGGGCTTTCATATACTGCTGTGTCCATGGGCAAGGCTTCTCTGTGGGCTTCTGCAATGAATTCAAGAAACACACAATCCTGGCACTGGATCTCTAGTTCAAACCCCAGCATCTACCACTCCTACCTCTGTGTGGTCACAGCTTCCCTTTCAAGATCTTGGCCACTTTGTGTAGTTAGAGTGCCAGTGAGTACTCTAGGTATGGTCTCACCCAGTTTGCAGGGGGGCAGTAAAAAGCCCCTCATGCCCACTGTACGTGACTCTCATTCTTGCATTAACATTTATTAAGAAAGGGTCTTTCATGCCAGAGGCAAAGACAGATGGGCCCTCCTCACAGGCTGTGGTGACTTTTACTGTGTCTGAAAATTTTGACTTTCCTTCCATTGAGAGGTGTAGTCTACGTCACCTTGCCTTAGTGGGTTTTGTAACTCTGTCAACTAATAGAGCCTATCAGAAGTGATGTTGATGACATGTTCAGGAGAGGTGATAAAAGGTTTATTTTCTAGAAACTGACTCTTGAAGCTTCAGATGTCATACAAGGTATCCAACTGCCTTGGCACCTTCTGTGCTGTGAGACAGCCCAAGTCATATGGAAAGACCAGGCTGAGAGGCCCCAACACTAAATGGAGAGGGACAGATGCAAGCCAATCCCAGGCCCCTGGCCTCACCATGGCCTCCACCCCTGCTGGCCCAATCTGAATGCAAGAGGTCTTGAACCACAACCACCCAACTGAGCCTTGCCCAAATCCCTGACCTGCACCAGATAAGGAGAGATCAATTAAATGACTGCTGATGTTTTAAGCTACTAAGTATTGGGGTGGGTTTTATAGCAATGGACAGACCAAGTCACCAATAAAAAATGATCTGGGGTCACCTAGAGAACCCAGGAAGGTCATCTAGAAGTTTCGCTTCTGATAACAAGTCCAGTGGAGGGCTACCGAGTTTACTTTGGGAAGTCACCCTGAGCTGCAGCCTCTGTGGCCTGGTACAACCACAATTCCCTAAACATGTCTACAGTTCCAACAGCTCAGATGTCTGTTCTGATTCTCCCAGCCACCCATTACTGCACTCAGCTGAAATGTATTAGTGCACACAAACATCTTTGCAAGAACATAGTATCAAAAATGTGAATTTTGAGCAGTACTGTACTGCAAGACATGAGTTCTGAAGAAGCAGCACTGAAGAACACTTTCAATGTGGACAATTCATTGTGAGGGATGTTGTGCAGACTGCTTCATCCAGCAGTAAATGGTGACTGAAAGGGCATCTCTCACCTCTTTCTGAGCCTCGGTCTGGCTCATAGGGGTTGAACGTCACGGAGCTCTCTGGCCGGGTCCCCTGAGATGAGGTGCCCTGAAGCACACAAATAATATGTCACCTTTCTTCATTGATACTCTGTTGAGTTGATATAATTATTTTTATTTTCAAGTAATCACATTTAACATATGCAGGGAAGACAAAAGGAGGAATCAGAAAGAAAACAGGAAAAAAACAATGTGGCTTATCTCATTCTTCAGGCAACTGCTTAGATCCTGTGAGGGCCCCATGCTGCTCACAATCCCTGTAACTTGCAGGGCCTGTCAGGGTCTCAGATGCTGCTGGGAGGAGTCACCCAATTGTTCAGGCAGAATTCCTTCCCTGTTACAGCTCTTTCAAATCCTATCTGTACCTCCCAAAACACACCACAGGTATTCTTTATCCCCTTGGATTCATTTTCCCCCATTAACTCTTTCAACTATACTATATGGAGGTTATTTCAAAACAAACATGAAATACCCACCAGTTGCTCTACCCACTCCCTAATTCCAAAGTGTCTATGCAGCTGGAACTTTGGCCTCTGCCTTTAGCTTCTGTGAAGATCTAGCGACATTTGGGTGATGCCAGAGGATAGCACTGGATACTCAGTAATCATCATCATCGTCATCATCATCATCAAGGACTCTGTGAGGTGAAAGCCTCTTGCTAACCTGAGAAAAGTAATTCTTCCTGTACCCAGAGCAGGTAACTGAAATGTATCAAAGCAAAGCTTTGCTGGCTGTTACTACTGGCATCAATTTGCATCATGAAATCATGGGGGGTAAATCTAATCTTGATATTCCTATAGCCTTTCCCCTTTGAAAGTCTGTATCTCAAGTTAGCCTTACCCACCCCACAAGGGCATTGCTATTAAATTTGTCTCATAGGAGAACCACAATTCGAAACATTTGTTTTTGGTGTGAGTTGAGTATAAATTTTATGTATCCATTGACCTTATTACTGCCCAAGCAGTGGCCACAAAGAAATGAGATACTGCCAGATTTTGGAGTTGTTTAAAGAAACAGACACTAAGCTGAATTATACACAGTCACTTATCTCCCGGCACACACTGGTATCCCTGACTGCCTTCCTGATAGCACAGTACCAGGAACCAAAGGTACAATAATGATGTCACAGTGTGCCACAGCCACCACCTGGCCTTTGTCTCCTAAACCTGGCTTCTTTCTTCATGCTGTCTACTGTGCACTACAGAGCCACTGCTAACAGTGACAAAGGCCTGTCTGATGTGGCTAAAGGACACTTACTTTCATGTGTCAATAGGATGCCACTGGATCCATTTTTCTCACGACTATCTCAGCCTTCTAAATGAACTGTTTATAGACGTAGCTATGATAGATCAAGTGTGAAAATGAAACCTAAGTTCCAGGGGCACAGTAATTCATTCACGGCATTATAGCTTTGTGAGGCCCACTGCTCATGCTTAATAAAAATGTGCCAAACAGACATATGAAGGATTAATGAAGCTGGGAGATGTGAAGTGTAAACTCATGTGATTTAATTCTCTTTCAAGTCTTTATGCTAACAGAGGGAAACAGGCATGCATAATTCCAAATGACAATCTACCTCTTTCAGAAACTTTCATATGATCATGGGACTATTGGATGTGCTGCGAGTTCATGTCTCGCTTGTTATATAATCACCCTCTGTCGGCAGAAATGTCCTATGAGAAACTAGCAGTTCCCAAGGCTCTCCATTCCCACCTTTGCTTGGTTCCCTCCTTCAATCAAACTCCAAGATAGAAATAGTTTGCAAATTTAAAAAAAGCCTCTTTTTGGTTCACATTCTATCATTTCAACTTCTCTAATTTTCCCTGCAGGTAGGTAAGTTATGAGATGCATAGACAAAACTTCAGGATACCAGGACACAAACCCAGTACCCCTTCCCCTCACTTTAACCCCTCCTGCCCTCTACCTACTTAAGATCATATCCTGGGGCTGTTGCCTCTCCATCCTGAGAGAGAATGTTCTCCAGGGCAGGAGGACTTCATAAAAGCTGTTACAATTAAGCCAGAATGCAATTATCTGACATATGACTCCTGTGAAGAACTTTAAAACAGAGGTGGGGTGTAAAAAAGGTACTGGAAACTATACGAGGGCCACAGGACTAAGAATGTGTAGTGATAAACACAGCAAATTTGTCCTGGACAGAGTAATGCATACTTGGGTGGGAGGGGGAGTGTGCATCCCAGTCTGTGTGGACTATGGACAAGAAATGGGTTGGGGGTTCCCTGTGGAAGCTGGGGACATGTTTTCACCCGAGGTGGTTCAGGGCTTCATTTTAGCGCTGCCCGCACAGACCACCACATGGTTACAGCCTTCAGAGCCTGGCTGAGCCCCACAATGCCCTCAATGACCACTTCAGCTTGCCACCTGGACCCCTTGCTCCTGCCTGCACCAGGACAGAGGATGGTGTTATGCTTGGGAGGACGTTCCATGGAATACACAGGAGGTTTCCTGTTGTGTCAGTTAAAAGGGCACTGGTGACTTCATGGTGAAGATGAAAATGCAGAAAGCACGTTTCATCTTTCTGGAAGTACTGGATGAATATGTCACTTAGGAGAACAGAAGCAACAACAAAAACATTCTCAAATCAAAATGTTCAGGGGGAAGAAGAATTGAGGACTTTATGAAGAATGAGATCTGAGGCATAATGGTAAATTATAACAGTACTGATTAGTATTTTTAATGAAATTTTAATTTAATAAAAAGCATATGGTTGTTTTACTACACCACTAGTCATTCAGTCTGTTTTTTATTTGATGATTTATTTTTCCCTAATCAATAGTATCACCTTTTCTGCTTTGAGCACAAGGCATGAATGAATGTTGACAATTGCTTTTTTCCCCTATTTTTGCTAATACTCAAAACAGAAGTTAAATTGGCAGGATACCACTAGATGGCACTAGCTACCTTAGCTTTCTACCTTGGAAAGAACAAGTTGTGACTTTTAAGTTTTATAAATTCTGGTAAAAACAGATCACTCCACAACAACAAAATAAAAATTAGGTTAGGTTATAAGTTATAATTCCCAATCTCTTCTTTTCCAGGGTCAACTTCAAGTAGAAAATGTATTTGACAAATATTTAAGTGCCTACTTTAAGAAGTGGGGATTCAAAAGTGAACACAAGAGAAAAAACATACTGCTTTTATGGAGCTGACAGGCTGACTCAGAGTTTCCTGATATGAGAATATTGCGCATGTCCTAGGAATGTCCATTTCTAGACCTTAATTTTTAGACTTTTCAAAAGACATTTTTTAATCAGGCAATAGCACTAATAGAGGTAAAGGCATACTTGCTAAAATTGCAGTGGAAAAAAGAACCAGTAGGTTTCAGAAATGCTGGCTGCCATAAACTGACACAGCTCTGGTTTCTGGTGGAACGCCTGTGGCCCCAAAGGGGAATGAGGCCCTGCAGTTGAGGGCAGCCTTGCCTTGGCCAAGGCATGGAGTAATATGGGGATTCCTTCAGAGCCACGAAGATAAACACTTGACCTTCAGAGTTAATTTTCCCTCACCTAAGAAGCAAAGATATACAATCTTGACTTTTGTAATGATATAAAAACACATTTCCTCAAGGGTCTGGCTCACTGCTTTGGCATTACCAAACTTGTATGACTTACGAACAACTTTTTCTGTCTTCCTCTCTCCCAGCTGAACCCTAGTGAATTGTACATTTAAATGTCTTAAAATACTCCAATCATCAATGTATATGTTGGAATAAAACATGAAAAATGGATTTTACTGTGTAATTCTGGAACACATTTCCACAACTAGGTTAAAATGTAAATGCTGTGTCTCAGAGAATATGCATTTGAAATGTGGAACTCAAACACTGTCCTTAATTCTTTAAGGATTCTGTTCAAACTCTGCCAATCTACCTTAACAGAAGAATAGGTGTATGTATTTGTAGTAGCAAACAAAAATATTCCAGTATTAATAAGAGGGATTTTATTAAGTTAAGTGCTATCAGTCCTTAAAGTAAGTGTGTGGTGGGGCAGGGAGATGGTAAATCATGCTTGTGTTCTTTAGTTAAATTCAGTTATATTTTTAAGTATTGAAATGTTACTAATATCTAAAGAAAAGTTTAAAATACACCCTCCTTTAAGTTGGTATTATAAGCTTTAAAATTATTTGATTAATAATCATTTTGAAATAAAATGTACTTTTCATTAACTACCCACGTGCTAGATTCAATTCAAGCCTTAACATGTACTTTTTTGTTTCTAAATTATTAAAAACTATTTATATTGATCAAACTAACAAATTCAAGAAAGCCATTTATAGAAATAATGTGTATACATGTGGAATAAGTACATACGTACTTATAGAAGTACATGTGTATTATTTATAACTTAGCTAAATAGGTAGAATATTTGACATAATTCCCAGTAGTCTTTTCTCACAACTGGTTAAAAAATGGAAAATCCCCTTCTACTTGTGGAAACGTAAATATTAGTTCTAACATATTTCTGATGAGCAATTAAAATACTTTCAATCTATAGCTGAAATCACACAATTCTTTTATTTATTAACTATTGATATTTTTGGCATCTATGAAAATTCAATTCATACTTCAAAGTTGTTATAAATAACCCCTCATTTTGCCAGAAAAGTATTTTCACAGTATTAATCAGAGTAATTACTAATTTTTAATTCTTTTAAAAATTGATTACATAATTTTAATAGGTGCAAATTTAAAAAGGCACAATAGGTTTTGCAATGAAAAGTGGGTCTCCTTGACACCCCTGTTGGCTACTCCCTAGGCAACTACTGTTACCAGTATTTTCTGCATTCTCTCAGAATATTCTATACTATATCAGCACAAATATATGTGTATGACACTGCTATCTGCAATTAACACTGGATTTTGAAAACAATTTTAGATCTCGGCTGCCTCCCACAGTATTCATTTTATTGTAAATAACTTCATTTATTTTTCATTGATACACTTTTAAATTATTTCCAGACATTGTTAATTATACAAAGCTGGAATAAAAAACTTCATATATATATACATGATTACACATAAATGCAAGAATATGTATACAAATACTTAGAAATAAAATTGCTTTTAAGTTATATGTGTTTTTAATTTACATGGGTGTTGTGAAAATACCCTTCTGAGAGACAGCATCATTTCCACATTTCAACAAAGTGTGGACGTGCTTATCACCACAACTCTGCTGCCCTTTGTGTTACCGCACTGTTTTATTTGGGTTCAGTTTCACAGGTGGGCTTAACAGAGCACCACAGTTTTAACTTGCATATCTTATTAGAAAATGGAACATCTTTACCTATGTTTAAGGGCTATTTATATTTGTTTTACTATAATCGACCTAGTGACATTCTCTGTCCAATGCCCTGTTAAATAGTTAAAACTTTTGATTTTAGACTCTTTTATATATTAAATATAGTAATCTTACATGTATCATTATTACAAATACTCCCAGTTTATTATTTGTTTTGCTGATGTTATGATTCTTATCCATGATCCTTATTTTTATGTAGCCTTACTAATATTTTCTTCAACTTTCTTTAGACATGTTGTCCTTTACTCTAAAGACCTATTACAACTCACTTGCTAGATTTTACTTTGGCCAATGCGAGTAACATGAGCTAGCCTCGGCCTGCCTGGGGCAGTGATTGGGGTGGGAGAAGGGCTTGTCTCCTCACAATCCCAGCTTCTTCATATGTCAACCTGGCTAGCCTGAGCTGAAGTCCTCCATTTTTGCATCAAACCATGATCTTGGCATTGCTGGCAAGAGATTTTTTAGATGTAATTAAAATTCCTAAGTAGTTGATTTAAATTAGTTGATTATTTTGGGTGGGCCTGGCTTACCCAGTCAAGAGTCCTTAGAAGAGACCTGCACCTTTCTGAGAGAGAAAAAGGCAGGGAGGTGCACAGCCGACCCTGGGATGTGGGTGACACTTCAGTTGTTCTTGAGGGGTCCCATCCTGTACTGATTGTCTCTTCCTCATGGCCTGCTTATCTAGCCCCTGCAACTGTGTAGGTAAGTCCTTGTGTTAAATCTATATATGTGTGTGCTGGTGTATATGCATATATTACACATATACATGTGAGAAAAATTGTTATGCATGTACATGTGTATTATATATGTACCTGTATGTATGTGGGAGGGCATGTCTGTTTTATGCATAAATCTTCGACTAGTCACACTCCCCTAGTTGAACTCTGAATGAAGATACACCTGCAAATCACAGAATTAAGATAAATGTGGAATGTTGTGCTTACTTTGTTCACAGTGAAACTGCTCACCTCTGGACTGCACCTGAGCTAGGGAGCATTGGTATACAGGCTTTGGGTCATTATAAAGAGCATGATGAATAAACAAGGGTACTAACTGGAGGTGTGACCCTCGTCCACAGTGGGCTTCTCTCTGGCTGCCAAGCAGACCCTGTGAATGGAGTGGTCAAGGAAGCTGGGGGAGCAAGGGGTTTTGGGGCTGCTGATGGGCCACCAGTCACACTGTGTGTTCTTCCCTGTGTCATTCTGTGAAGCTTTATCAAAACAGCATTTGATTAAGAACTCTAGTATCTTGGGTTTGACTGCCACACCATGGTGGAAAGTCACTAATGTGAACTGAATTTGTAAATATAACCTTGAAAGGATGATTTATAACAGAATAGTACCCTAAATCAGAATACACTTTTAATCACCTTAGTTGATGGGGCACCATCTGGCCTATTTCCTACTGGATTATAGTCCTATCAGGTGCCATCCTGGCACCGAGTGGAACCCTCTCCCAGTCAAGGGGCGAATGCTGACACGAGGCCATGGCCAGGTGGGCCAGAGGTGGCAGCAGTTGAGTTTGCCTGGGATCATGGGGAATGTGGACTTTTCTAAGTTTAAAGTCTCAGTCGCCTCCTGGCCCTGATCTTGAAACAAATATCAAATTGTGGAGCAAAAGGAACATTGACATAGAGAATGTATCCCCTTGACAACCTGGTCCCCTACTCCTAACATGCGGCCCCCTTATGGGTAGCCCTCACTGTCAGCCCCAGAAGTGACCCTTCTGTGGGCTGATCCACACTGACTGGGACTGCAACATTAAAATAAAATTATTATTCAGGTTCACCACATAACTTTCCCCTCAAACACCACCTTAAATTAACTTCTGTATGACCTATGTCCTATGGCCAAAAATACTGAGAATGTCTTGAGTATGAATGCCCTCTTGGAACATTTTTACTAAACAAGATCTCAGGGCTTTTATGCTTTTATGAGCAAGAATCCCAAAATACCCAGAATTTATTTATTAAAAATTGTGTATGTATTTTTACATGTTTAAACTTTAGTCACCTTCAAAGTACTCTCCATTTGATGCAATACACATATGAAGACATTTTTTTCCACTGCTCAAAACAGGTTTTGAATTCATCAGTTTTGATGCCTTTTAGTGCTTCTGCCATTTTTTGTTTCACCTCCTCCATGTCAGCAAAATTTTACTGCCTCATAAACAAAACTGGTATTTCTAATCCTACAATCCCATCCCATCTTTATATATGTTATATTTAAAGTTCTGTGTTGGAAATTTACAGCCATAATGATGTTATTGAAGCACTTTAGACAATATACACACTTAGGCCTTCACTGCACAGTACTCATAAAACCTTGGTGTTTCATCCACCAACACGTGATTTATGCCATCAGTTACCATAACACTGCAACACACAATTCTGGCAACTCTAAAGTAACTTGGCTCATTTGGAAAAGATTTTCCAACATGAGAATCAGTTCCCACTTATCATGCTGACTGAGATGACTTTCAAGCACACATGTCAGCGGAGATAGCATGTGCATAGTGATGGACTTTGCAGCAAAGTGTCCAGGACCCACATGGAAAGCACAGTGCGTGCCCAGGTGGGCTGCCCATGAGGGCTACATGCGGCAGAGACATGGGGCCAGAGCAGCAGGAGGGGCAGGGCAGTGCACATGGAGGGCAGCCAGTGGGCGGAGCACAAGTGCTGAGTGCGGGTCAGTCCTACCACTTAGGGACAGCAAGCAGGGGATGTTTTAGCACCTTTCTGTGGCCAGGCTTTGGGAAGGAGTATGATTTGATTCTTGAGATTATTCCACCCGGTGACCAAGTCTAGAAACCATAATGGCAAAGAGGAACAGTAAATGTTTCAGAAAACAAATAAAGCTAGGTACATAACATGCTATTTTAACTTGCTTTATAACCATAATGCCCGACCCTCCAGCTTTTGTTGATGTGACTCAGTTGATCATTAGGAATATTTCAAGGAAAGCTGAGCACCTGAGCAGGAGGACCTGGAAGAGCATTTGGGTACTATTTTCCACAACAGGCTATAAAACTAGAGTCATTACATTAAATGGCCCATGTTCCATAGAGAATTATTAAGTCACAAACTCAAGTCAATCATTGTGAAGAAACTAAAAGATAATTTGCTCAATTTTTCACTTGTTCAAGGTGACAGTCCCATGTGCTTGTGGGAATTCACTGAGTTAAACACTTAGAGCACATGCATTTACTTTTTCTGTATATATCTCATCAGTCCATAAAAAATTGTTCCAAAAAAACCTAATTTCTTGGAGCCACTAGGTGATATATGGCTAAATATAGGGCTTGATATTCTTTTAGTTCTCAGCACTGATTTATCCTCAAGAACAAAGAATCAGTCTCCAAGCACACACATGGTAGAGCTGACAGGCCCAAGAGCCATGAAAAGAGTAAAATAAAATGACCCCTTAAAAGTGTCATATTTTAGACACTGATCCTAAAGTTCACTGACAGTTTAGCAAATTCCAGGTCCCCCAATCTGGTGACAGGTGCTGCTCCTGGAGAGACCCCAGTTTCAACACGGGGCACAGCTTCTGAGCAGTCTGTGGTCTCCATGGGGCCAGAAAGTGCATTCTGCTCTCTGCAGACTTTCTTAAGGGCTAGCAGACAAAAGGTGCAGTGTAGAGTACACAGCCCACAGAGAGGTAATTGCTACACTTCATGGATGGCATGAATGGGAACTGAAGGTCCACAGTGAGGTCCTCCAGGAGGAGCAGGAAACCACATCATGCTTTGAGTCTAAAACTGTGCGGCAGTGCATCACTGTTGGAGGGAGGAGGGCTGGGATCCTCTCTCTGTAGGGGCACCAGGCACACTTTGGGCAAACCTACATGGAGAAGTATGGATGGGCCACATTCTTACCTCCTATTGACAGTGCAGGGGAGGTGGGTTCTGACCTAGTGCCTGAATCTACACTTTTCTAGGGCTCCTCTCTGATGCCACCCTTTCCTTAGCCTTCCTCGGCTATGCTACTCTCAAGCCAGCTCTCCTTGAAAGGGCAAGGCCTCTAATGTCTTGGTTGATGTAACCTAACAAATCAGGCAGAAAACATCACTGAAACATCATAATGCCAGACCTTGGTTATTACACCAACCAAGGTCATGTGGATCATGCTCATGTGCCCGCACAAGGTTTTCAAGACTGAGCTCGAAATCTGCCAGGAAGCATATTCCTGAGTTAACATTGGGTTTCATGGTCATTTTGTATACTTTTAGCAAATGGAGAGAATTTAACCTACCAAAAAAGTTAACTTGGCTAGCTTGGAACTGGAATCAGGCTGATTCTAGCTGACATCAGCAATCCCAGTTTATCAAGTCTGATAAAACAACAATCATCACTACTCCTGTTAGCCAAAACATGCTTTCCATTGCACTAACATACAACTGCTTTACCTCCAGTGGTACTTCTAGTAACACTTACCGCTGGATGGGAACTTGGAAGTTGTGGACGACATCCAGGATTAGTATTTCCTGGTGAGAAAGGGGGATGATTACTGCTCTATCAGTGAAAACCGTCACGTACCCCCTTCCCACAGCAGATCAATCAATGTGATGATAAAATCTTGCTTCTTGAAAAGCAGGTATAGTTTCTGCATACTTTTTTTATTGTTTTACTCAACTTTCTCACTATGCAATCAGCCCTAGTTTTTTAAAGTAAGCAGCAATTTTTTGATCAATGATATTATATAAAATTGGAGCAATCTGACACTTATAATCAATCAGTACAAACAAGGCCTCATCTCACCTGAACTGCAACAGGCCAAATCTAAAACAGGACTGATTATTATCAGGTTATTATTGTTCTCTAAAAGACTGAGATTCCAATGTCTTAGTCACTTACCTGGTGGCCCGATTTTTTGACATGGAACTGTAAGAACTCTTAACAAACCATCTGGTTTATAAGAATAATGTTCGACTAGCTGAAAGAGAAGAAAGTAAGAAAGTGCAATAAATAACAAGGCAGGAAAGGGAATCCTATCTGAAGCAGCTGACTCCCCTTTTGAACTTTAGAAGTGATTGAAGGACAACCCATAATTTCCTTGTTGGTCTGTCTGATCCCTCCCGTGTCTCTCTTCCCACCCTCAGACTCAGGACAGAAGTCCACATGCCACCTTTCCTTCACGATCTCACTCTACTCTCCACTCACCCCTTTTCTCTCTCCCTCTCTCTCTCTGCCTCTCTCTCTCTCTCTCTCTCTGTTTCTGTCTCACTTTTTTTTTAGGTAGCAAGTTGCATTTACAGTATTTGTATTCTCCTACATCTGTGTGAGATTACAAAGGTGAACTCAGCATTTAGTCATCAAACAAACATTCTGCTTCTCTAGGCCCTGGGTGAGGACAAGGTAAAGTCATGTGAATAACACACATTTCCTGCCCTGGAAGTGCTTACTTGCTTGTTGGAGGGACAGATAAATGCTTATTACAGTGCCATGGGCAAAGGCTTTGGAGGGACCAAGTCATTCAGCCCAAAAGTTTCAGAGAAAAGACATCGCAGCACAGGTGACATAGGAGCTTGGGACATGGGGAAAGGTCACTTTTTGGAAAGTAAACTTGTATCCACCAGGCATGGACATCTTTGGCTAATGGTTCCCAGAAAACTATGATTATGTCTAATTTCTATGTTAAAAATAAATTAGTGGCAAATACATTTGTTTATATCTTATCAAAGTTATGTAATATTTTTCTCATAACAGACATTTTCTCTTCAGACAATCTAAAATATTCATATCTGATATCCTCCCTTGTCTGCTTATTGGTACTTTTTCCAGTCTCGAAACTTACCTACTTGTGTGAATGTTTGTTGAATGAATATATTTTACCCTTCCAGGTAACATTCTTTTCTCAAATTTTTAATTATTGTGGTTAGAATATAACATGAGATCTACCCTCTTAACAAATGTTTTGGTCACAATCAGCCCTAACTTGCTACTTAGAATGGACCCTGAAGCTTTCCCTGTTCTGTAAATGCAATAGTATGTTCTCAGGCCAATGATATTGAAGTCCCTAAAACAGGTGAGACTTCTCATCCACTTCTTCAGAGTCATTCAAAAATCTCCTTCAATTCTTGTGTTTTTAGACAATCTATCCCACAAGGGTGGCTGGGAGGTGGGTGTACATGTAGGAATTTCCCACTTAAACAGAGGTCTGCAAACTCTCTTGTAAAGGGCCAGAGAGTGCTATTTTAGGCTTTTTCAGGCCACACACCATCTCTGTTACATAGTCCTTTATTTAAAACAATCTTTTAATGTATAAAAGCCACTTTCCTCAAGGACAACACACAAAAAAGGCCAGGGGCCAGATTCAGCCCCTGTGCACCAAAGGAAGGAATGCTATTGTAATAATTACCAACTCCCAGAAAAAAATAGCACCAGAGTAGGTGGGGCTAGGGCACACAGGTGCCTTACACTGCTGTTGAGAAAAACACATGAAATCACATCTGTAAAAATGAAAGTTACTTCTAGCATTTTTGATGCTCTTTCTTAAACACAGTGGCTAGAAAATATACAGTGCAAAGAATTTAATTAGGGCTGAATATTACAATATGCCAGAGAAATCAGTAAACATAGGGCAAAGTCTTGGGAAGGAACTTCCCAACAACTACTGATGTTTGGCACCATAGGTGCACACAGACTCTGAAACTGAGAGTGGACTCCCAGGAGAAAAACCACCAATGGACAGAAGCTGGATGGCTGCACAGGTGATGGAACCAAGAGCCTTGGAGCCTTTAATGCATACCATCAACACGTCATACAAGAGTCAAGAGACTTTGGTGAGAAGTTAGTGCTTCAAGGCAGCATTCTCTACTCATCTTTCTAATTTTCAGTGGACTATTTGATAGGCTGAATGCTCTTTCAAATCAATATCATTAAAATAAAGCAAAGTCTGTGGTCAATAATTAGCCATATGCTAATGAGCTACAAACCAAAAGACAAAGTCAGTGTTATAACTGATATGAATAATATTGTAATACCCAGCATTTGGAGAAGAAGCATTTCTTTTATTCACTATAGCATTAGGAACCAAAATAAATCATGTGGTAGTAACTCTAAGTGCATTAAAGGTAAAGAGGATCCCTGGTCTCAGTATTTAAAAAGACGGGACTTTGAGTTGGGACCTTTCCTCCTGTTACCACAAATGAGGTTCCTGGCCAGACCCGGGTGTGGATGTTTGCACACATCCCTCACTCACAAAAGCTCAATGTAGTTGTTGCTTTCTGGGTGGCAGAGTCCCTTGGTTTTCTTTGTCTCTGCCCCACTATAGTATATAGGATGCTTTGCTAAAATGTCATGGACAGTGGTTTCATTTCTGTACAGAGCCTGTGATTTAAAAGAAGATAAGCTACTTATGTCTGTGACAGCCCCATGGAAACCAGTGGTGAGCATGGGTTTAGTGCTCACTCTGCTAAAGCAACTCTCAAATTGTGAGTTGTTTCAGGGTTACTGATAGCTGGGTCAAGAATAAGCACTTCAAAGCAGAGTGGAACAGTCCCATGCAAGGCATGGTGGGAGCACAGGACGTGCTGCCTTACTTCCTAAATTGTCTTACTTTCAATGGAGACTCATTTTGCAGCAAGAATGCCCCTCAACATTTTATATTCAACTCAGCCTCTCACTGCTTAAAGACAGTATGACTGGCCATCTCCACCCCTTCTTCCCAGCCAAACACACCTTTATTTTGTGTGTATTTGTCTTAAAGGCTGTATTCTAGTCCCCAGTATAGGGTTCCTGTTGAACTCTGAACACAGCCTTGAGTGGCACCACCGTGAGGTTCCAAGTCCTGACTGGCCCTGGAGAAGATACAGAACCTTCTGGAGCCTCATTAACCTAACATGATGACTAGACCAGCACTTCTTAAATGTGGACATTGGTATGTGACACCTAGACATAGAAGAGCAGGTTCTGGTTGGGCAGGTCTCAGGTAGGGACCTAGAAGGGTTTCTCTAAAAGGCTCTAAGGGTCCTGTGGCCCTTATTTCCCAGGGTGCTGCATACCTGCCAGAGCGTGTCAAACTTCTTGCCGTCTGGGATGGAGAGCTTCCCTGTCTTGTCCTTGTCGATGCGGTAGTGCAGCACTTTGCCCTCATGTAGCAGGCACAAGGCATAGGACCCATTGTTGTCCCTGGCCCTGATCCTGGAAGATAGGGAGAGTCCATCACTCCTGATCCCATCTCCCACCAGAAGCACCCTGAGCAGGCTGCTAGACATGGTGTCCCCATCTCAGGGTCAAGGGCTTTGTCCACCATGACCAGAGGCCCCAGTCACAGCTCAATGACACCAAGAGCCCAGGACAAGAAAATTCTATGGCCTGGGCTGGACTGCTGCCAAAACTCAGGGGGCAAGGAGCCCTGGCTGGGCACCAGGAGAAGCCAAGGCTCTCCTGGGGCAGCAGTACCTCTTGGGGTACCAGCACCTGAGACTCACAGGGCCCTGGAGCTGGCTGAGTGGGGGTCTGTGGAGCTCTTTGACTTACCTCCTTTCTTCCCTGAAGTCAGAGTCCCAGCCAGTCCTCTTCCCAGCCCAGGAAGTGCAGGGTGGGGGAGTTTCAAGGGCATTTTAACTAGGAACTTCTGGACCACAGATGGAGAGGTTTGAGGGTTCCTACTTCCAGGGCCTGCTCTCCCTTCTGTAGGGGGTGGGGCAGGGCTGGGATTTAAACTACTGTTGCATATGACATAGTGAGATGAAGTCATTAAAAAAGAAAATGTCATCCACTGAGAGTTGGAGAAAGGCAGGCAAAACCAGAGCTGTGCTGGACTGAGCTGACTGCCCTAGGTTTGATTCCATAGCCTGGTGGGGTCAATGGGAGACATCCCCTCACCTTATCCCAGGGAATGATAACTGTGAGTCCAAGAACCAAAAGGGAACACACACTACAGTGCACAAGAAGGGGGACTTCTACCTACAGGGAAAAGCCAGGTGGGGGTGCTGCAAAGGCACAGAATAGGTGTGACCCCTCCAATTTAGCTGCTTAGTCACAGTCATCCTCAGCCCATTGTCCCTTTCTAGCAACTTGAGCCCTTTGGATCATAAGATCTGAGAAAGGGTGGGTCCCGGAGGTCCTAAAAAGCTGTCAACCCTGGCATTTTCTAAAATGAGGGACCTGAGGCCCCAAACAGTAAATGCCCAAATGCACTGTATTTAGGGAAGAGTTCAAATATGCCAAGCTGCCAGGAACTTCTGTATTTGGGGACATTTGTGATGACTCCTCCCAGCTGCAAGAGTTCACCAGTACAGGGTCACATGAGACAGGCTTTGGAAATAGATATGGTCATACCTTCCTGTCCTCAGTCTTGTAGATTCATCTCAAAAAGCTAACTGAAGACTGGAGAGCTGAGCTGTGTTGTGTGGGATGGGAATTTTGTTTTAAAAATAAAGTTCTTTTCAAGTTGTGCTCATCTGTGCACAACGGACAGGTTCCCTCCATGCCTCATGGCTCAGAGCAGCTGGTGTGGGTGGAGGGATGTGCCCAGGCCCTCCTGGGCCTCAGCAGGGGCCAGCTCTGAAACCTCTGCACTGTGACAACGTGACAAGAGCTCCTTCCTCTTGACTGTGAGGGGTAACCAGCACCCTGATACATAAGCTACACTTCCTGGTTACATGGCCTGTGAAGGCCAGTTGGTCGCTATCAAACTAAGAACTGACCATACAGAAAAGGCAAAACATTTTTATATGGGGAAGAACTGAGTCCATTTTGTAATGTGGAACATGGGACTACTTAAATTTTATTTATTACAACACATAAGCATTAGTGAAAAACAAATATGATGGTTTGCAAGTATAGGGAACTGTATAAATTCTTAATACTAACCATTAAGAATTTATGCATATACACATGAAAGGATAATGGAAGCATAAAGTTCACAGGCCATTCCAAATGTCACTGTCCTTGATTTACAGTCCTTCACACCTTTGACTTCAGAGGCGTGGAACAGTAAATAGGACCTGAACTCTGTTTTTTAGGTTTGTGTCCTATCTCCACCACTCTTTCTTGTCTTGTGCCTTCACTGACTTTTTCTCATTATAAAACTGAGGCAGAGAATCACAGATTTCCCAGGAACATGGTTGCAGTAACTTCATTAGAAATCTGGGAAATGGAACCATGGCATACTGTTCCACATGGCAAACATTAAAAGACTTATCATATTAAGTGTTGCCACAGGATGGGGGCCACAGGATTCTCTGTATATAGCCAGTGGGAGTATCAATCTAACTATTTTGGAAAACAATTTGGAATTTTCTACTGAATTCTAATCTGTTCACCCTTTGTGAGTCAGCAATCCTCTCTCAGCTATACAAAATTTGTGTACTCTGAACCCTGAAAGTAAGGTGGGATGTTTATAGCAGTTTTATCTGTGATCACCAAAAACGTTGAACCTGAATGTTTACTGACTTCAGAGTGAGTAAATAAATTGTGAGACATTCATACAAAGGAATGTTACAGAACAAAAAATGAACAAATAGCAGTGATACAAAGAAAAAATGACTTTTGTGAACATAAAATCTACTCAGGATCCCCCATACAAAAATTCCCAAACAGGCAAAAGCAAGTGGTTTTGTTCAGATGTGTACAGGTCTTAAGGTGATAACATAAAAAAAACCCTAAAACAGGAAGAAGAAGAAAGTGAGGGCATGTTGGACACACAGCCCAGGAAGTGGTGTCCTCCAGGGGCGGGGTGTGAATAGGGACCTTCTGAGATGTTGGTGTTTTCTTTCTTGACTCCAGTGGTGTTGGCTCTATAATTATTCATTAAGATGCACAGATAAAGTGACACACTCTTTGTGTGTTTTATACTTCATAATAAAAATGGTATAAAAAGAGAGGTGGTACAGGTGGAAATGGAGTGCTCTTTGCTTTTGGACAAGTGACTGCTGCAAAGACATACACAGTTCCCAGAGGAGAGTCTCCCTCCTGGAGGAGTCTCCATCCTGCAGCACCAGCCAGCCTGGCTAGTTCCCAGGACAACAGGGGTGACAACTACCCTGTGAGCATACTCTAAGGATGGCAGACACAGGGACTGGCTGCAGACGTGCAGCCTGAACAGCCCCCCAGGCAGCTGGCAGGAAATGAGGGCACAGAAGGGAAACCCACAGGCTCAACAGCTGTAGGTGGCAAAGACCAGAGGCTTGGTGACATTAACGGCCAGCAACTGTGAGGTGTTTGCTGGCTATAGTCAGATCCTGGGCTGGGCTAGGCTACTTTTAATCTAAAATATGGGAAATAATGGTTTGGAAGCTAAAGCAGCTTTCTGTTTTAGCTCACCATTTCTCAGGAAAGTGCCCCTCTGCCCCATATACCCACCAGGTTTGTCACACAGGCGCCCAGAGAAGGGATGAGTGAAGTCTAGTCTTTTCGATGTCTCTCAGGGCTGCTGCCTTCCAACCTCAGTGTCAATGGCCTCAGGCATGTCTACATAAGCCCTAGAATACTTTTTCCCAGTGATTCTCTTGGAAGAGTCCAGCTCATACAGATTTGTGTTTTGCTACTACAGAGCATGGGATTTCAGTGCTTTGAATTAGAGCTAGGCTGTGAGTTTTCCTTAACTAGCCTTGAGACATCTGGATGTCATGTGGCATGCATACTCCTCCTGATGAGAAAAAAGGGAAGTCACCTTCCTCCAAGGTGGACAGCATTAGGCTCTGTGATGAGCGGTGAGGTGGGGAGAGTGGTCATTCTGAGAGGCTGAACCACATACCCTCCTGAATGGGACAGAATGTGTGGTGGTGATGCCCAGACACTGGCAGGGAAGTGAGGACCTGGGAGGTGGTAGGACCCTCCAGGCAGCTTCCACCCACCAAGGTCAAAGGACATTGAACTCTGTCTGCTGCAGACAGAAAAGAATAGCTGGGGAGGAGGGGACAGTTTGTGGGAGTGGCATGCTGGACAGTGTGCATGCTGATACAAGGATGACAGTCCCCTAACTCAGGAAAGGTACCAGCCCTAATGAATTCACTAAAGACAAAAGAAAATGCCACTTCTGGGTGCTACTGTTTTCACCATAGTAAAATTTAGGCACATGTGCACTCCATACACATAGTGAAAGCAGATCAGTACAGAATACAGATTCAAATCTGGGGTCATAATAAGCTTCATTCCCACACCTGCCTTTTTAAAGATTGTATCACAAATTCCTCTCTCCATCTTCCTGGGCACTAGTTCATGAGGTGGAACTAGGTCACTATTCTCTGTCAGCTTCAGACCAATGAACTGACACTGACATTAGTCCACAAACTCCTTTGAACTTTTTACTTCAGATGGGTTGGGACCATTTATGTTGATCTGCAGCTATAGAGCCACACATGTCAAATAAAATGGTGTACTTTGATTGTAGCACATGAAGGTGCTGGAAGAATTTAGCTTTTATTGTCACATTTGAGGCTCAAGACAGCCATATGCTGTCTCATTCATGAATAAACAAGGGTAAAATATTTTCTAAACCCGCATTTGCTTTTTAAATTTAAATATATAGCAAAAAGTGAGTTGAAATTTGAGCAGGGATAAGTGAGTGGCAAATAAGAACAAAAAAAAAAAAGAGAGAGAGAGAGTTTGGCCTATGGCCCAATACCAGTACCAGCACTGGACAGAGAGACAATGTACTGAAACAGCAGCATGGTGCACACCTGAACCTCAGATTCCCACATTTAAGCACATGCCTGTGAAGAAGATAACCTCTTCAGCTCTGGAGAATAGCATTCTCAATGTAGGATGCTCCAGATACCCAATGATAAATATTAATCAAGAACAAGCTCAAAAAGGTCACGAAAAATATAAGGAAATGTGAGTTATGAGAGGAGTAGGGAGAGAAAGAGAGTGGGAGATAGAGATTTATATGTATTCCCAAGGACTTTCAGCACTGTAGTAATCAGGCATGGAATATGGATTAACTACGTATGAAATCTTCAAAGAAACAAAAGATGGAATCACAAAAAATAGCAAGCAATAAGATATCCTCAAAAATGCTCAGGGATATTTGAAACAACAGCAACAACAACAAACAGAACTGCTAGAAATGAAACAAACATGTAATTGGTGGGAAAAAATTCAGTAAATGAGTTTAACACCAACTTAGACATAAATGAAGCAAAAATTAATAAAATGGGAGGCGAATTTAAAGATATTACCAAATGTAGCAT